TGCTTGGGGGGGCCGCGGGCAGCCCCACAGGCTGCCAGCCCCAACCCCAAAGCCACCCCCTGGGTCCCCCTTTGCCGGTGATGCCGACGCTAACCCCAGCGTCCCCGCGGCGCCTGGGCTGGGGCACCCACCTTGAGGAAGGGGATGACGAAGGGTCGCAGCGGGAAGTTGGTGGCCTCCTGGAGCTTGGCGTGAAACTCCTCGATGGTGAGCGTGGAGTTCTGTGGGGACAGCCCGGGCTCAGCACCACCGGCCACGGCCCCCTGCCCGCCCCAGCACCCCCGCAGGCACCCTTTGCTCCTTCTCCCCCATTTCTGCTCCTCTGCCAGCTCTGCCACGCTCAAGGGAAGACCACGCTCAAGGGAAGACCACGCTCAAGGCTTTGCTGGCGATGCCAGCAGTGGGGACCCAACCCTGCACCCATGTCCACCCAAGGTCCTGTGCAGATCCCAGGAGACGCTGGAAAAACAGCCCCCGCTTTTCCAGGATTTAGCTCAATCCAGCACCAACAGGACCCTCTTTTTGCCCCATTTAGCAGCGTCTCCATCACGAAAGGAAAGCGCAGGGTCCCCAGAGGGGGCATCACCCCACCAGCCCAGGGGCCAACCCCGCGCCCAGCAGACGTACCACGAGCCCCAGGACGAGGGTGCGCACCCGCTCCCCGATCTCGGGGGAGATGTCGTTGCCGAACTGCTGCAGCGTGGTGAGGAAGCGCTTGAGTTTGGAGAGCTGGCGGGCGCCGCAGGCTGGCGGGAGCTGGTGGGTGGAGAGGGAGGCGGTGGAGGAGGTGGCCGGTCCGTTGCTGAACCCATTGGGGGTGGACGGGGCCCCATTGATGGCCGTCGGCGAGTGGCTGCTCCCGTTCATCACTGTGAGGAGAGAGGGGACGCGAGGTCAGAGCGGGTGGCTGAATGGCAGGGATAAGGCTGGGGTGGGGGGGGACCGGAGCATCCTGCCGGGTACCACGGGGCTGGCACCCTCCGGGAGGCTTTGGGATGCTGCTGCATCCCTGGGGCCGCATCCTGGGCTGATCCCCAGCACTGTGGGAGGCAGACCCAGGCTGTGGGGAGGGGTGGGATGCAGTGCACGCCCCCCCAGCGCAGCGAGGGCCCGATCCTGCTCCTCGACGTTCAAGGCAGCCAAGAGAAGGGGCTCCATCCTGCCCCTCTGGGAGCTGCTCAGCACCCCCCAGGGAGAAGCCACGAGTCATTTTCCACGGAGCCCAGCCTGGCTTGCAGCATGCCAACGCCTCTGGCCCCGCTGCCCAGGCAGGGAGACTGGGAACTGCCCGGAGCACCCCGTCGCCAGGGGACCCGGAGTGGGGGGGACATCTGGGGGTGCCACCCGTCGGCGTGGCGGGGGGCCCGCCCC